CGGCCTCTTTAAATAAGTGTTCTAGTGTTTACCTTTGAAATTGCATTGTGCTTGCAGAAGATGTACAAAAATGGTACGCTTTTATGTTGTCTACTAAATCCAGTTAATAAAGTTAATGTCATCATAATCTAATTGTGATTTTTTTTTATTGTAAAATTATGGGTTCTAATTATGTGTAACAAATGAAAACAAATCTAATTGAAATACATAGATTGATATGAGTAAAATCATCAACCCCCATATTGGTTCATTAAGTAATTGCCTTGATTAACAAGATAGATGTTCAAACAACAAGATTTAATTGTGTTTTCTCAAGTTTTTAACTGTTGTTGAATGAATGAAAAAATGTATTCTACATACTTAAATAATTTTTGAGTCAATGAAAGGATACTACATTGATCCGATGTAATCTGATTAAATTAAACCACCAAATTCCAAATGTGTTCGTTTGACATGATCAAAAATGGGTTATCGTACTTGGTTAAATTATGTGGAAATGGGTGCCATGATTAGATTGTGTTCATCCAACAACTGATTTCTTTGAGTGTGGAGGATTTTTATTTTTATTTTTTTGCTTTATCTCCTTTTCAGAGGAGGGAGATTTCGACCTGAGGGTTTTTTTCGGTGCATCCTACTTGTTCTCAGGGTGGTCGAGTCCACTGGGAGGTTTTGGCACATCCTACCTGTTCTCGGGGTGGTCAAGATCATTCTCCTGTTTTCGCCCCATCCTGTTTTTCCCATGGAAGCCGCAGATCCTGGAGCTTTGATGGAGTTACACCCCCTATGCACGCCAACATTCTCCGGGGTGGTAGAGCCGGTCTCCTCGCTCTTCTTCTGCTTCCCTGCACCCAAGCCTCTGCCTGTGACCCAGCGAATCGTGATGTGCACCTGCTCAAACTGTCTGTCGAGTACCTGCCGCCGAGCTGGGTTTCCTCGCGTCGCTCCTGCAGTTCTTCTACTTCCTGGTCCATGCCTGCGGGGCCTATGCCTGCAGGTCCTCCATGCTGCAGCCTCTTCAGAGTCCCACCGTTGCAGCCTCTTCAGGGTCCCACGCCTGCTGCTGCAGTCTCCTGTTCCAGTTTCCGAGTGTCCTGCTGTCGAGTTCCAGTGTCCCGCGCCTGCTGCTGTCGAGGTCCAGTGTTCCAAGTTTACCGAGTTCCTGTTCCAAGTCCGAGTGTTCCAGTTCCTGTTCCAAGTCTGAGTGTTCCTGTTCCAGGTCAGAGTATTCCTGTTCCAAGTCCGAGTGTTCCTGCTCCAGAGTCCAAGTTCAAGTTTCCCGAGTCGCCAGTGTTTTGTGGCTTTGTGGGCGTCTGGTATACACCGCTTGGGGGTGGGGGTGGGGGTGGGGGGTGGGGGGTACTGTCACAATCTGCTCCTGCCTCCCTGTCTGTGTCTCTCCCCTGCCTCTGATTAGTCTTTATTGTTCTCACCTGCCCCGTGTTAATCTTCCCATGTGTTCCTGATTGTTTCCTTGAGTATTTATACCTCCCGTCTTGTTTGAGTCTTTGTCGGATCATTGTGTTATTGTATGTCGTGTTGTTCTTGTTCCCTGCCATATCCTGCTATTAAATCCACTTTTATTTTATCCGTGCCTGCATTCCTGCCTCCTGATCTGCTCCACCACACATGATCCGCCGCCATCCACACCCGCAACGTGACAACCACCCCTTCCTATCAGGGTGGGAGTTGCCAGCTGCAGCTTATTTTCTTAAACTGACAATGGGTGTGTCGGTCCGAATCCACGGGTGGGATGCTTATGAGTACGGGTCCTTGCTAAACTGCTAAGACCAGAACCCAGCGGCTCTGAATTTGGACAGTCTAGCCTTCACCTGTACGGTGGCCCGTAGGTCCCGTCACAGTCGTGGCGGCAGCTACACGCAAAGGAAAAATGCTAAAGCTAGCGAAAATGGAGCAGGAATATTAAGGAGCTAGAGCAGCTTCATGTCCATCAGCAGCGTTTGTTCACAACCGTTTTCAGGTAAAGTAACTTTGTTTATTCTAGAAGCTTTCAGGACTTACATGTTAACTTTAGATGGTTTCATGTATGTTTTAAGCTACAGAATGAACTTGTTAAACGTGCACAACACATTTCAACAGAGTATTATCGTGTAGGTAATTAATATAAACCAAATGCATTATAAATGTTGAATGCAGTAGGATGTTTTCTAATGTAAATTGGACCTCAGAACTTATTTTGCATCAAATGGGGTAAAATGCTTTAAAAAACAGGCTTTTTAATAAAATGGCATTTAGCTGTTTTCAATGTGCATTTGTTTATTCAACTTAAGCCTAATAATGATTAGATCTGTCTTAAAAATGTAAATTCTCTGTAGTTTTTATTTAACTATTCCCTGCTGCTTTTCTTTAAACTGAACAGAACCAGTGTACTGCAGGTTATGTTTTGTTTTTCATTTTTCTATAACAAACCTCTTTTTTGATCTATTACAGGTGCGCATACACTGTGCTGCACATCTGCCTCTGTGCTGGTGAAGTTGTGGGTCTGGAGGATGAGCCTGAGGAAGATGTGTGTGGAGGAGGTCAGTGCTGCTCTGTCCTGCAGGAGGTACCAGCAGACCACCACTACTGTTAACAGGCAAGTCATTTATGTAGGAACCTCTATTAAAAACAGCACTGTGGTTTTATTTGCTGAAGAGTCACAATTGTTATACCAGTGGATCCATTAACCATCTCCTCATTTCATATTTCTGAATACATCTTAGAGATGTAACAGCCGTCGTCTGAGCCAGCCCAGCAGTCCCTGTAGATGGACGATGGAGTGGACAGTGAGAAGAAGCGTCCCAAAGCTCTCTCTGCAGACCGTCCTGTATGATGTTCCTCTGACCAGAAACGTCCAGCCACGGGTCTGCTCCAGCCCTCCATCCACGTCTGGATCCTCCTGCAGCAGATCCAGCTGCACTGTTAAAGACTTCCTGCTCACTCAGTTTAAATAAATGATCCAGGAAGAGTCACTCAGGTTAATCCTGCTTTAACCGTACATAACTGGTCCATCCTGATTTTGATCTGTAAATAAGTGTAACGTATTATAAATAATCTTGTCTCCTTACCATCTTTTCATTTTCTGTTCATGTAACATGTTCAAAAACATCTAATAAAATTGGTGATAAAACCAATGACCAGAAAGAAATATCAGTTAGTATTTGTTTTAATAAACGTGTTCAAATATCAAACTGCTGAATAACATTAACATGATGACAGTAGAAGGCCTCTCTCCCAGGATGACCACCAGGTAAAGCCTCTCCTGACCCTGGACACCTGCAGTCCTACAGAGAAAATCAGACCACAGGTGACAAAAAGGCAATAAACACATTTTTACATTTATCCACTTGAGAAGATAAAACTTTTATTCTTCACACAAACTTTTTACTTCATTAAAACGTGTCAGCTGTGTAAATCCCCGAATGTAAAACTACTTTTCACAGCAGAAGTTCTGTGGTTGTGTGTGTAAACAGCTTCACTCTTCACCTCTAAGCTTAATAAAAACGCTTCTTTGCTCCGTTGTCCTTAAAACAAATGACAAGTTTAATTCACCACACACACACACACACACACACACACACACACACACACACACACACAGGAATAACTGGGACCTGCAAAACAAACTCGTTCTGGCTGATTTCTGCCTAAAATGTAATTTAAAAAACAAATAAACAAACGAAAAATGTCTATAAACTGAACCGCTTTAAGCTTCTTAGGTTTCTACGGCTAGTTTTTAACAAACTTACGTTTAAAACTTCGTAGCTCTCCCCATTTTCTCTGCCTGTTGAAAATCCACAGCCGGCGCGCAAAGCATGCTGGGATAGCCTTGTTCTGTGAGGAGACAACAAACCCGTCCTCGGAATGTGGGCGGAGCGAGGATGCGTTTGAGGACGTGAGAATGAGTATTCTTGAAATTCGGACAGTACTCGTCGCTGCGCTGTGACGTCATCGACCTCAAAATGCGCTCTTACAAGCATCCTTCCCGTGGATTCGGCCACACCCATAGTGTAGCTTTTATCATTAATCTCTGGAAATATCCATCAAAATAATGTTGAAAATGAATGAAATTATGCCGAGTTGCTGAAAAATACTGGCGGCTTTCAAACATATGACCCTAAAATCTGGTCAAATATAAATGGGAGTGGGTCTATGTCTCTGTGCGACGCCATATTAGATGCCATGTTTCCTTCTATGGGAGCCCATGAGGACAAAATGCATTTACTGATTTTTAACAAATGATTACAAAACTTTCACCAATAATAAACGTTGTTGTTTTACACATTTACCTCCTCACTTGTTGCCAGTGATGAAAGGGAGTCTGATGTGCTCGTTATTTTGCTGAAGTTTGCACTCCCCGGGTCTTTTTGATCCTAATGGGCATCCGTTGGTAAGGTCTAACTCCAACATAAAAATACAGCTTTCTTGCAACTATTAAGGCATCTACTGCCCCTATGTCCAGGAAAAATACACACTGTCACTTTAAAGTGACAGAGACCTGAAATGGCTCATTCTGGAAGGTACTGAAACTGTCAAGAACACAAAGGCTTAGGTTGTTTTACAAGAGAGGGACTTAGTGCAAAAACTTCATGAACATGTTTTTAATGTACTATACAACTATTGTATCTTTAAAAATACATTTTAAATGATTAGGACATTTTTAGCTAAGCATACATTTGCATAAAACTGGGCAGCTTTCCCTTCAAATGCATGCATAATATCTAATTTAAATGAACGATTTGTGAATTAGTCAAAGATGCAAAACTCTAAACTGCACTCACCAAAAGAGCAATCCTGTGAACTTGGGACTGTGATTCTCTGTTTTGTGAACAGGTTTACATGCTTTTTCTTTGTCACTACACATGCACAGAATTGTAGCCATTAGTTTAGGTTTGCATGAATGGAGATGGTTGTTGGGTAAGGGTTCAGCCTGTGCAGACCCGTGTCCAGTGTAGACAAATGATTCAACCATGCAAGTGAGGAAAACAAACTTGTGTGCATACCTCATCAAAAACAAATTCCTCCATATCCACCTCCTCCAAGATGTCATCCTCTCCATCATCGAGACACATGACCGCTGCAAGAGCAGATGCGAGCCTCCTTCTTACAATGAAGCCCCTCCAAAATGCCTGGAGGTACCCCAAAGAATAAGAAATAGTAGAGAACCCTCCATGAATCTCAGAGCAAACGTAAATACTGTATGTTGTCCCATTAGGGGAGATAAAACATGTTCGCCCTTATTTTAATTGCTGAGCGTTGTGTTGTTTGAACTCTGCTTGACTCCGAGCTGCTCTGAGACAAATGGAGCTCCAGAGAGCCTCTAAATCCTTCAATTCCCAATGGGCTGGGGGGGGGGGGGGGGGGGGGGGGCACATTTCACTTCAGGCTGAGCCTCACAGGAATTCTACAACTCTTACTACCGCATGTCTTTGGAAACTGATTAATCGCTCCATACCCGCCCGACACACACACACACACACACACACACACACACACACACACACACACACACACACACACACACACACACACACACACACACACACACACACACACACACACACACACACACACACACACTTCGTTCTCAGAGGATCCTGAAGGACTCATCAAACACTTCTCGTGTTGAAAGTTGATTCCAGAGGTGGTGAGTGGCATGTTTTCAGAGCAGCAGCTCTTACACGTCTGTGCAGAAGACTGGCCCAAAAAGCATCCATGCTAGGTTTGAGGCCTGCAGATTAATGTTCATGGATGTGTAAAAGTGACTTTAGGAAAATTCTAGCTGTTGTAGTAGGATCATTAATTACATGTCTATAGCTCACAGGAATGCTTTTTTTATTATTCAAACATTTGAACAAACTTTGAGTTTGGTTGGGAAACAAATGCATATGAGCTCAGCTTCAGAGGAAAACCGGTTTAAGATGTTGACTTTCCAGCCTTGAAACATGTACTAAGTGTTTACCTGGATGACAGCTGCTGCATGCTCTTGGCTAATGGTGCTCCTGCTAAAAAAGGAAGGTCCGACCACCTTCCCTTTGTCTCCTCCCTTGTTCATGATGAAGGGGGCATCAGTGTTCCCATGTTTTTGTTTGTACTTCCTCCACCTCTGCTGAATCACGCCTGCTGCTCTGCTGCTCAAAAAGTACACACACGGAAAGGAAAACACACACACACACACACACACACATACAAATATGAAGGATATATGTGATGTCACAGTGCCTTCATCTCTCAGAACCATGAATATTTTCCTGAGCCATCTGGAGAGCAGGGCTCTGGAGAGATTCAGCTCATCCAGAGACACCAGTCATATAAAAGATGTACTGCCCACACAAAGATAGCAGAGTGTTCATGATAAAGCTGTGTGTTAAAATGAGGAGGACCGTCAACATCTTCTGCTGTAAATCAAACAGAGGAGGCTCCAATGATGACAAATGTTCTGCAGCAGAAACTAATAAAGGCTCAGCTGCTATGAAGAAAATGTATAAAAGACGATGAGTTTGGTTTGGGTCAGCTGTGCTAGAAGCTTCACATACTTTCATTAGCTGAGCTATTCCAGCATCTTAATGAGACGATGTATATAAATAGACTTTAGATAAATTACTCCTTGAGATCCAAGTCGTAAACACTGGATGGAGGTTCTTCATCCAGCTCGAGGAAGCGTATTTCTCTTATTTTTGGTTCTGTTGACTTGGTTCTTGAGCCAGTCGTGTCAGAAGTGTTGTGGTGATTCTCTTCCACTGGTTGATCCCTAAATCTCAGGTGTCTGTCTTTGATGTTGCTCATGTTTGGGATTACTGATGCTTCAACTGACTCAGATTGTGGGTAATCAGCTATCTTCTCTGGACTCGCACAGCCCATCTCAGGATGTGTTTTAGATAAGACTTCGCTGGTGTGACCGTTTTCATGGGCAAGCCTATGGTCCTCCGCCAGCTGCAGAGCCGTAGTCAAGTACCAACAATGGGTTTCCAAAGTAGGAGATGAAGCCTTGCTGTGGATGAATAAAAAATAAATCAATAAAAACATTTAAATAGCGTTTTGTTATTTCTACCACAGACAGACTAGGACACTTCTGAGTGGTGTCACCTGGACTAACACAATGCACCAAACAGCTTTGATTCAGGGTATTCTCTAAATCACCGGCTGGTTCACTAGACATAGCAGCTCCACCTAATGTCTCATTTATACCTGCTGCTATTCTTAGCAGCGGAGTCTGCACCCTAACCATAATCAGCATCAAATGACGATGACTAAGTAAAGCCGAAAATCGACATCATGGACGAGCAGCAGCAAGGTAACGACTGCATCAGTTATCAAGAGTCAATTCCTGCTGTATATGAGCTCAGGTGTATCTTTATTTATTGGTCAGGAAAATGTCCCAATTATTTATTTATTTATTTGTCTGTTTGTTTGTTTACCTGAAAAGGGTAAGAATTAAAATGACGTGAACTAATTACAGAACTGTAATGATTTAAAAAAAGCAACGATTAATTAGTGAAGTTTTATTTTAGGAGTTTCTTTCTTCCACAATGGTTAAAAAATAATTGATGACTCAAAACCACACAAAGTCCCTTAAACCATAGTAAGTGTTTCAAGATCTTTTAACTTAACTAAGTACTTAAGTATACATGACGTCATCAAGTGTTGTTAACTCACCATGTATGATGCTGACTGACTGCAGGACTGGCTTCTGATTGGATATGGATATTTTTCTAGATGTGCTTACAGTTGTTTACAATTCAAAACATGTAACAAGTTTCCTAAACTCTTAACACACCTTCACACCTAAAACACACAACTGGTTAAATGGTTCATGCATGCTCAGAACACACACTTTAAACTAAACCCCAAAACTCATTTCCAAAATACAATACTATGAACTACCACAGTACACTGTCTCTAGCAAAACACTGCTAAATCAAGTGATGATGCATAAAACATGTTCCCTTCCAACAACACAACACAGTGACAAAATAAATACTATCATCAGCTGAAATAACAATGGTATGTGTCAGGTCTGCCCTTATATTTGAAGCCTTGCTACATGTTGGTCTTGTTGGGTTTGCTGTGGTATGGAAATGCATGCATTTTGTTACTTTTGCTGCAGAAATTCAATAGAAAAAAGTGAATGACCGTCTCATAGCGTTACGTAATGTACAGACACAGGACTGCTGCAGTACAGACTATATCTTGTATTACTGCAAAATATATGAAGAGAAAAAGCACCGGGATTACAAAACAAAGTTGGTACTGTAATCTACTGTATACATCATCTACTCTGCATTTGGCCACATGTTCTCATCCACATCACACCTGCATATATTTGAGCTTCAATTCACAATATGAACAGCTGTTCACTTGAACGTTAGCCTATATAAGTCATGTTTATAACATGGTGTTATCTGCTCTGACAGGCCAAATGACATGTGAAACTATGATATTCAGGTGTGTGTTTTTCAGTGAGACTTGCCTCCTTGTGATCCTCTAACTTATAAAGTCTCTTTCACTGAGGATAAGCCGACCACAAAGCAACCTCATGGGGAACTTAATGAATCTATTAGCAACGCTTTGCTCCGCTGCTCTCCCTGTCCTCTACCCTGAGGGCGCTGAAACACCCTCAGCCTGTCCAGAGAGCCGGTTGTCTTGTGGAGTACAGCTCCATCTCTACAAAGAGCCAGCCTTTCCTTCTCAGTGGGACAACAGATAGAGGAGACAGGGGTCGCAGAAGATGGTGACCCCTGTGATCCTTTGTCTCTGTACCTGCTGGTTCACTCCAAGGTCACCATAAACGTGTCCAACAAAACATAATTATTATACAAGTCTGTTGAGAAAACCTTTAGTTTGATCATTATATGTGTTGAGTGTTTAGACATCAAACCCAGCTTGTAGTAAAAGTAAAGAAATAAACTCCTAAAACGTGTCAAAGTCTTAGCTTACAGCAATCAGTAGAGTGGCGTAAGGCACCCTTCTCACCTCCCTAAACGTCAGTGTGACCCAAGGTCACACCAGGGGTTAAATGTCTGTGTTGGCTCTTGCAATGCCCCCAAAATGGCTCATTGTCCAGAGGTCAGGGGAGCAGAGGGCACACAGCGAGGGGTGAGGCTCGGGGAGCGCCACTCTATCCCTCAAGCCATAGGAGTCCTCGGTGTGACCCGCTGGAGCAGCCGCCGCCATGTTTCATCTTTTGTTCTGTGTAATTTAGTAAAGGTCAGGAAGATAAGCAGAAAGTTGTCCACCGCTTTAAGTGCTGGTGGTCTTCTGTGCACAGGAGTACCAACGTGTGCAGAGGCCAGCGACACTGGAGGAGCTGAGAAAATAGATGGGCGTTGTCTTTAGGCTCACTAGGCCTTGTGTATCAGACATAACACGGAATAGCTGGCATTCCTCGCTGCCTGGTGTCTGACAAGAAATCTCTCTGACAGAGCAACGGTCATATCTATCGTCCTGCTTGGACATATTCCCATTGACGGTTTCATCACATTCTTCTTTCAGTGAAATAAGGTATTTGTGGGGTAAAAATCTAATAAGAAGTAAAAATAAATTCTGTTTGGGACAACAGGACAGTGCATTTGAATATCCCAAAAACTGACATTTCATTAGCCTTTTTAATAGATGAGACTGTATATATAATAATATCAATAATAATATTATTATTGACTGATTAATCAAGGGACTTAATTGATTAATTATCATTGATATTATTATTATTTAAAATATTTAAAGTAACAGCATACATCATTTATTTTCTATATTTTACAGACGCTGAAACAAACTAACTCATTGGATTAAATCCTGAAGACAAGTTTGGAGAAGTTTGTCTCCTACTTAGGAAATAAAAATGTTCTATGTTCCATTGGTTCATTGTTTGTATTCTCGCCAGACAACTGGCAGAAACACAGATTCAACACCATCCCCACCCTGGTGGCTGATTCAGGTAAAGGTTTTAATTCCCATCCACGCCATTTAACCTGATGAGACATTTTCCAAAGCGAAATACACCAAATAGTTTTCCTGTTTGTGGAAAAATTCCCATAATTTTACTTATATGTATATTTCTAATCAGTGTTTACGTGTAAACACAACAGTTGTGTGTGAGGGAGAAGATAGCTGCGCTAAACGTGTGCCTGTATGGGACGGTTTAAATCCTGCAGGAGTTAGATCACAGCTCAGCTGATATCTGACCTCAACAGACACTATGCAACAAACTCAATCATATGTTTCAGTGCTACATGTGAAACTTGAAAAATATGAGCATGGTGCAAAAGTCCCTTCATCTCAGTAGACTGAGAGACCATGTAAAGCACAGGTGTCCAACTCAGGTCCTCGAGGGCCGCTATCCCACGTTTTAGTGTTTCCTGTTCAAACACACCTGATTTCAACCAGCAGGTGATTAACAGGCTTCTGGAGAGCTTCATGAGCTGCTGCACAGGTGAGTACACTGTTTCAGAACAGGGAAACAACTAAAAGGTGCAGGGTCTGGAGTTTGACAGCCCTGATGTAAAGGCTCAGGAACGCGCTGCAGGTGTTTTGGATTCATCAGCTGATTAGAGCAACACTTTGAGTCTAGAATACTAAACCTTTTCATAACGTTCTAACTGTCTCAGATTTAGATCAGTCAGCCATAGTCATCCGTTATTTGCCTGGCATGAGTCTGTCTCATATATTAGTTTCACATTTTAGATTCACTTGTATTCAGAAGGGAACAACACCCTTTTGGTTGATTATGAGTCTTTTACAGTTACATTGGTGAGATTCTGACTGACCCACAGTTACCTAAAGGAACTAACATATTCCACAGTTCTCAGTCAGATGAATCATTTCCCTGTAATTCCAGTTTTAACAGACTCAAAAAGTGAGGGTTGGTGCCGCTACCTGTGCAGCGTTACACAGACTTTTACCTGAGCTCGCTGCTGTGACGCTGCTGCAAAGCCAGAGTCTGCTGAAGCTGAGCCTGACAGAACACAAGGAAGGGGTCCAGGTTTACAGGACGGGCCCTCAGACCAGGCAATGCTCTGTGCAGCGCCAATCTGAAACTCAAGAACAAAACGTTTCTGTTTTAGTCATAAAGGCTCAGTGCAAACACTAAAGCTTATATCAGGATATTGTATAAACACTTAGTAGGTCAGTGGCTGTTCAATGTTTAACCCTCCCGCTGTCCAAATGGGTGTGACCCCTGGAGGAATGTTGACCATTGAGCAGGGTTGATGGTTTATCCCTTGAGGTCCACGTGGCAGGGGTGAGGTGGTGCTCACTCCTCACCTCTGCCACATGGACCCAAGGGATAAACCATCAACCCTGCTCAATGGTCAACATTCCTCCAGGGGTCACACCCACTAGGACAGCAGGAGGGTTAAAGCCTTCAGCATAAACACAGTTAGTGTTTTATTGTGTAATCATTTATTTTAAACTGGTCATATAAGAACAAGCAGAATTTAACCCAATTCCATTTTTGTTTTTGTTTTTTTAAACACAGAAAGGTTTTTCTTTACCATGCTAATGTTTCGTTTGCGTCTGCAAACGTCCTCAGAGCTGACGCTGATGGTGGCGTCACTTCCTACTCCGTTTATCCGCGGGCAGCAGAGGACGTTGTCGCCCTCTGCTGCCCGCTCTCCCCTCTCCGATGATGCAGTCCCATGCGTGGTCCAGCGTGTAAACTCCATCGTCCCTGTTCATGGTCCCACATCCACGTCTCCTTATCTCGATTGCTTCTTTTATCCATCTTTTGTATTTTTGTTGTTCGGTGTTTATGATCCTTGTGTTGTCCCAGTCCATTACATGGTTTTCTCTTGTGCAGTGATCTGTTACGGCTGACTTCTTTATTGTAAGAAAGGAGTACAAGAAAGAAACAAGTGGAAAACACACAAGAGCAGCAAAACAAGAAGCAGAAAGCACAATAAAGAAGTCAGCCGTAACAGATCACTGCACAAGAGAAAACCATATAATGGACTGGGACAACACAAGGATCATAACCACCGAACAACAAAAATACAAAAGATGGATAAAAGAAGCTATAGAGATAAGGAGACGTGGATGTGGGACCATGAACAGGGACGATGGAGTTTACACGTTGGACCACGCATGGGACTGCATCATCGGAGAGGGGAGAGCGGGCAGCAGAGGGCGACAACGTCCTCTGCTGCCCGCAGATAAACGAAGAAGGAAGTGACGCCACCATCAGCGTCAGCCTGAGGAAGTCTGCAGCCGCGAACAAAACATTAGCATGGTAAAGAAAAACCTTTGTGTTTACAAAATAACCAAAAATGGAATTAGAAGCCAAACACAGAAAGAGCGTACCAAAGAATTTAACCCAGTCAAGAAGTAATTGTTGTCTCTATAAACCCAAACCGGAGCTGGGGGAAATTTGTTCTGCTACTAAAAAGTCAGACAGCTTTTGTGTCTACTTTGACATCACTTTATTAAAATTAGTTACCAGCTACTCAGGTCTGAATTAAATGAACATTTTTAAACGGTAGCTTGTGTCCAACTGGATGGGAGTCCTGAGCGTCTAGGTGAGGAAACTGCTGCCTGAGGCTAAAGGATGCTCCAGCAGAAGAATCTCAGCTATCCACCACAGGAACAGGCTGCAGCTCCACCAGCAGAGCCCTGGCCAAATGTGCTCAGTGGGAAAATGTTGGGCTGGAATCTCTTCAGGACATCAGGGAATTATCTCACACAAATACAAGCTTTTACATGGCAATGGGAATTTGTTGAAACATAAAGAATGGACTTTATTAAAAATATCTCTGAGCATCGTGGGATCCTGCATTTAATCAACCATTAACGGCCTTTAATTAATAATGTAAACAACTCATGTTAAACATCTCACTGTCATGTGTTTTTCTTCTTTCCTCCACTGGTTTCAGAATGCTTAAACTCATAAGCCAGTGTGTGAATGGATGAATGAGTGATGTGTTGTGAAGCACCTTGGGGGGTTGTAGGACTCTGGAAGACGCTACAGACCATTTACCATAAGCTATAGCTGCTTAAAGGCTCTAATGTCACATTCCTAAACTAAAAGAATATTACGCTGAGAAATTTCAAATCTTAAAAATAGTGTTATGTGCACAATAATGCAATATCTAGTACAAACAGTTTACTGCAAATGTATTAACATGTGAGTGAAGGACCTCTTTCACATAGAAGACTTGATTGGATCATAAAGACAAACAGGATGTATGCAGAAAGAACCTCAGATGGATCAGGTGTCTGCGTGCTGTAGGTATGTTCTCCATGATGTGTGTTGAGCTTTGGAGATCTTGTTTTAATCACATAGGGATGTTCATATTAGACACAGATAGCGTGCGGTGTTCTTGCTGCTCTGCAACAACACTAAGAAAGAGACAGGACTGCAGAGGACAGGGTCTGTGTCCTGTCAGAGGGATCCAGCTTTCCTGTGCTCCTCTGGGTCTCCAACAAAGACGAGGATTGGATTCCAGCCCTGTGGGCCTGCTCTCTTCAGATGAAGCTCCAAATCCAAAATAGGACCTTTTGGATGTTACAGGACTTCACAGAGGTGGGGAGTTTAATATGATTCACAAACATCTACTACTCAACGGTATTTGCACCTGATAAGATTTAATTCTGCTTTATGCAACACACATAAATGTGTTTTTCAGACTATTATTCTTTTTGTTCTTCAAAATAAAATAGCTTAATGATGATTTTATGTTTATGTATTTAGCAGACGCTTTTGTCCAAAGCAACTTACAAGTGATAATCGGCATGTTGCCCTTGAGGCTAACAACAACAACAACAACAACTTGACATCAAACATGGAGAGGAGGGAACATGGAGTGGACAGTAGAGAGGGGGGACGGGTACAGGGAGGGTGATCTTAGATGTTGTCCTGGATTCAAACTTGAACCCCTAAACAGACGTAAATCCCCCCCCCCCCCCCCCCCCCCCCCCCCCCCCCCCCCCCCCCGTCACTGGTTTGGGATGAAAGGGGCCAGGTCACGGTTGTGGAAATACTCAGGGGTAACTCCACTGTTGGCAGTGAAGTCTAAGTGAAGTTCAGTGAGCTTATGAAGTTTTAATTAGTCTGATTATTAAAACAGGAACGCTCTCACAAAGTAATCCATCATTTCTGGAATAGTCTGTAGTTTATTTGGTACTAATTACCTGCAAATAAAATTCTTTATTTGAAAATTCAACTATCAACAAATTCAAAAATCAGATTTTTTGACTAATGTTTTAGTTCTAAAAGAATATTGGTTCATATTTTAAATGAGTCGCTCTCATCAGATGGATGTGGATAACTGACATGTTAAATAACTCCAAACACTTACATCACTGATCATTATCAGACACTAAATTATTCCAGCATCTGCGTCTTTCACATCTGTTAGAAGCAAGTGTTAGAACACTGGTCAAACAGCAGGCACTAAAAGAGAAAGAACGGACTGATGATTAAGGAAGGTTGGCTTTGCTGTTGTGTCAACATTTAGAGAATTATCTGAATTTAGTGCACACACAGATGGGACGTGTGTGGAACCTCATGATGAGGAGACAGATCACAGAGGTAATCTGGGAAGTGGACAAGCAGGCCTGCGTTTGGAATGTTTGGACTACCTGAGCCGATACGAAGCTAGTTTTGTTTCTTCGTTTTTCTACAGAAAACCCTTCCCACGTGGACAGATGACTTTGTGATAGACAAACATCGACTTTTCACTGCTGCTCCATGTAACACCAGTCAAGGCAGGTGGCCTTTCACAGCAAAGGAAGCTAAATGTTTTTAGAAATTCACTCCTGCTGTTAAAGTCAGAGCCACTGACAGTCTCCTTCCAGCCTGACATGGATTTAAAATACATGTAAGTCCTTCCTGGTGTGTGTCCGTCCATCTCACCCTCACCCACCTCCAGCCACGCTCCTGCTCAACAGGATTCCCTGACAGGAGGGCTTCTCGAAGGAAATGACAACCCTCTAGACTCTCACACACATTCTGCAGCTCTAACAGAAAAACATAAACATGCAAAACAAACATTTATTTGATTGTGTAGTGACTGAACAGGATAAAATATACAGATATGTGTTCCAGAGGCCCGGAGAGCTCCTAACCTCTGAGCCACTGTTGCTGATAAGGTCAGGAATTTTATCTGCCTAAACATCCGACTCCAAAACGCATTTATGTGAGGTGTATGTGTGTGGGCAGCGTGCAAAACAAAAAGGAGCAAATCGTTGCTCGCTCTGCTAGCTACAGACAGCTAGTTTCCAGGATCATTTGAATGTTTTTTTGGAATATATAATCTGCTTTTAAACCATGAAGAAACAACAGCGAGCTCTGCTGTTTAAGGGATTCCGTTTCTGGTTTCTGCATAAACACACTTGAACCTCCACCCTTCATATCAACACTTTAAACTAGAATTATTTTATGTTGGGAAATGATGATCCTATACTCAGATTGCTTAAAGTCTAAAGAACACATTACTGCATTCAGAGCGTGTGGTGAATGACGCTCGGCTGTGGCTGCATCCAGTGGCGTGTCCAGATCTTTTATAACGGGGTGGCCCAGGTGAGGCACAACTTTGTGCATGGGTGGCACCAATGGTTATGCTTTTTTTGTTTTTGTTGTACCCCCAAGCCTTTTGTGGACAATGAAAGGCCTATTTAAAGGTAAATTAGTGTGGTGGCACCTGGGGTGGCCAATCAGATTCCAAGGGTGGCATGTGCTACCCCAGGCCACTCCCTGGACACGCCCCTGGCTGCATCAGCTCTTAGCTCTGTCTGACTGGTATTCATTTGGGTAGGTACAAAGGTTGATATTTTCTGTGCGAAACGAATAATTACTGTGTAACTCATGGCTTCCTCTCTTTTCAGGAAAAACACTTTCACATCTTTACGTTCTAATGAGCTAACAGCTGGTCTGAGAGCAGCCAACACCAAAGTGTGTTTTTGTAACGGTGTCGGTGCAGGATCGGCTCGGGGTCCAGCGCCCGCCGATGACGTCACATGACTGCAAATCTACTCGGCTTTCACACACGTTTTGGAAAGACATCAGCAGTTTTGTTAATGAATTCTTGTTTGTTAACACCTAAATGTTTTCTTTATAGTTGTAATTTGTTAATAAAACACCATATTATCTTTGTCTTGTAAAGAATGTGAAACTGCATGAAACCAACATCGGACTGACAAACAATAGGACAGTTCTTATATGTGAAGCCACATCTGTTTGTATTCATGTGGAGTTCATCTGTATACTTCCTTAGTTGTTATCTAAATACATTCTTTGACTCAAAATGTCGCTTGGAGTCTTTCAGTAAAGTTCTTATATTTTATTTTGCCCCATTTCACCAACATCAAGAGCTTTTGAGGGTCACCATTTATCATTTGCTTATATTTTACATTTCCTTTAGAAATTCAAACATATTTTCTCCAGTAAGTGTTAATTTTTGGACTACAGGACTACAACGGCTAAGACTACGACCGCAAATTTGTTCTGACCAATCAAAATCATAACGATAACGTCACTTCCGTAAGCTTCATGTTCAGCCAGTCAACTACTCTGACATCATCGGCAGTCGAAGGACCCCGAGCCGATCCTGCACCGACACCGGCTCCAAAGTTTTACTCCAATTCATGCAGCGTTATCTCTCTATGTCCGTCACTTTCACATGACTCTTTTCTTCTGTCAGAAATATTAAGATGGTTCCAGCCATCCTTGCCCCCTGGGTGTTCTCCATTTAGCTGCTTCAGGGGTTTTTACACCTGCTAATAATCAGGTCACTCAGGTTTGAACTAGCTGTTAGCTCATCAGTCCTGGGAGCCTCATTAAAATGCATCAAGTGTTTTAAGAAATATGTCATCAACAGGCAAAAACATTATCATCCACCTCTTGGCTTTTGCTAGAAAGACTACTCAGCCTTTTCGTTAATGGACTTCTTCACCACCACAAAACCAGTTAAAAGACTCTCAAACCAAATGAGGCCCAACCGAAAACTCCTCAAATCTAAATCCAATCAAACACTTTTGGGTAAACTGCAACAAGTCTAGTCACCAAGAGTCCTGACCTCAACCAAGCACTCCAATGCCACTGAGTCACAACGTCAACAAGACTGAAACACGTCAAAACATCCAGCCCAATTTGTGCTTCTGAATTCAGCTGAATAAAAAGCATAAAATAAACAGAACTGAATGCTTGGGTATAAAAATAAATCAACAAGTGTCTAATCTAGACAGTACGTTACCTGAGAGACAGTTGAATCGAACATCTAGACTTTCAAGTGACACAAAATCAGTCAGGTTGGGCAGCTGGGTTATTCTGGGAGAAAAAGACACCAGTTACAGCCTTCCACGTTCCTCTGGAGAACACTACTCATGTGTTGTTTATTTCTATGTTTATATGTAATGTCAGGCAGGTGTGATCAGGACTTGGAGGTGCACCGTCTACCTGTTTTGGGAGGCTGAGAGGTGTTGCAGGAGGGGCAGCCAGCAGCCAGCGAGGCCTTGCAGGGAGGAGATGCTGTTGTCATCCAGATGCAGCGTTCTGAGGAGAACCTGGTTGTTCAGACTGGGGGGCTGGTGCAGAAACAAGCTGTCAGGTCACACCAGTCACACTGCGAGGTTAGACTAACTTTACACTGCTGATGGTGGTGGAGCAGCAACAAACCAACCCCATCCATCAATGTCCGCTGGCTTAGCCCTGCTGTGGTTACTGTCAGCAGGACTAGAGGAGCTGCTCACCCATCAGCAGAGAATAAAATACACACCGTCTGTTCTGTGTGCGTGTTTTACCTTTGTTATGTTTCTCTAATGTGATTAGGTCTCACGATGAAAGACAGACAGATCCGAGTATATCTCTGCTTCCTGACATCCTTCAGTAAAGCAGTTAGAACGTTTAACTGACGTTTAAGAGGCGAATCAGGCCTTTTTCTTACGTGCTCGGCTGCTTTTTTAACCGTTTTACGGCATCGCAGCAGAAGATCCTCTTTACTGATTCTTTTGTGCCAAAGATGAAAACCAAAACAAACTTTATTTATAAACACTTTAAAAACAACTTGTGGCCGACACGAACAGCACAAATATAAAAGGTATAATTAAAAGAATAAAATAAACTGTCAAAATAAAAGATATTTGCAGAATTACAAGTCTGTGAATAAAAGTATGTTTTCTGTGTGGCTGAAGAAGACCATCTATAAGATGAAGATCATTCCACAGCTTCGGGGCCACAACTGAGAACGATCGGTCTCCTGTGCTTCAGCCGCGATGTTTATGTTTATGTATTTAGCAGACGCTTTTGTCCAAAGCGACTTACAAGTGATAATCGGCATGTTGCCCTTGAGGCTAACAACAACAACGTTGACATCAGTCATGGAGAGGAGGGAACAAGGAGTGGACAGTAGAGAGGGGGGACGGGTGCTAGTTTAGAAGATGCTCTCTGAAGAGCAGGATCTTCAGGAGTTTCTTGAAAATTGAAAAGGAAGCTCCTGTTCTGGTAGTGCTTGGTAGGTCATTCCACATTTGTGGAACGATGCATGAGAAGAGTCTGGATTGTCCTGAGCGTGGTGTAGGCACTGCTAGCCGACCATCCTGTGATGACGGGAGCGGCCGGGCCGAGACGTAAGCCTTTGCAAGAGGATTCAGGTAGATGGGAGCCGTACCATCTCGGACTTTGTATGCTAGTGTTAGCCATTTGAATTTGATGCGTGCTGCTAGCGGTAGCCAGTGGAGCTCAATGAACAGAGGGGTGACGTGTGCTCTTTTTGGCTGATTGAAGACCAGACGCGCCGCTGCGTTCTGGACCATTTGAAGAAGTCTCACAGTGCAGGCTGGAAGACCAGTTAGAAGGGCATTGCAGTAATCGAGGTGGGAGATGACAGTAGATTGCACCAGGAGCTGGGTGGCATGTTGTGTTAGGTATGGTCTGATCTTTTGTATGTGTTCGTATCTTTCAGCGCAAAGCGGCATGAACGGGCAACAGAGGCAACATGATCTTTAAAGCGATGTAGAGCAAGCGCTGACCAGCAGAGTGGAGGGAACAAGGGTAGGATGGTAGGCTGAGCAGACCAGATGATGGATCTAATAGAAGGATTTTTAAATGGATCCTATAATCAACTGTAAGCCAGTGTAAAGAGGCCAGAACTGGAGTAATCTGCACTACTTTTCTTTTCCCAGTAAAAACAAAGTGCCACAGCATTTTGCACCAGCTGCACAATAGCTACAATATTGCTTTGAAGGATATTTAATGCCTATTTTAAATTATTGGCATTTTGCTGATCATCTGTAAATTCATGATGTTTAAATAACATTTCAGTGGTTTTCATTCAGGAATGTACAGTTGTGGCCAAAAGTTTTAAGACTGACACAGATATGAGAAACTGGAAACATTGCTGCTGAAGCTTTTATAATAGCAGTTTGCATTTACTCCAGAATGTTATGAAGAGTGATCAGATCAATTGATTAGTCCTTCTTTGCCGTGGAAATTAAGTTAATCCTAAAAACACTTTTCCCTGCATTGTATTGCTGTCATTAAAGGACCTGCTGAGATCAATTCAGTAATCAATTCAATTCAGTTCAAGTTTATTTATAAAGCGCCAAATCACGACAAGAGTCGTCTCAAGGCACTTCACATAATAAACATTCCAATCCAGGTCAGTTCATTAAGCCAATCAGTAAAATGTTTCCTATATAAGGAACCCAGCAGGTTGCATCAAGTCACTGACTAGTGTCAGTGACTTTACAGCAATCCTCATACTAAGCAAGCATGTAGCGACTGTGGAGAGGAAAACTCCCTTTTAACAGGAAGAAACCTCCAGAGAATCCTGGCTCAATCGTCTTGTCAACTCAGGTGAGAATGTTGATGAGCACAAGGCTGGAGATCATTATGTCAGGCTGATTGGGTAAGAGCTTGAAATGTTAAAAGGAGAGTGATGATTGGAGTCATCGTTCTTCCATTGTTAATCATGGTGACCTGCAAAGAAACACGTGCAGCCATCGCTGTGTTGCATAAAAATGGCTTCACAGGCAAGTATATCGTGGCTACTGAGATTGCACCTAAATCAACAATTTATAGGATCATCAAGAACTTCAAGGAAAGAGATTCAATTATTGTTAGGAAGGCTTCAGGGCGTACAAGAAAGCCCAGCAAGCACCAGGATCGTCTCCTAACGAGGATTCAGCTGCGGGATCGGAGTGCCACCAGTGCAGATTTCGCTCAGGAACGGCAGCAGGCAGGTGTGAGCGCATCTGCACGCACAGTGAGGCGAATACTTTTGGAAGATGGCCTGGTGTCAAGAAGGGCAGCAAAGAAGCCACTTCTCTCCAAAAAAACCCATCATGGACAGTTTGATCTTCTGCAAAAAGTATGGTGAATAGACTGCTGAGGACTGGGGCAAAGTCATCTTCTCAGATGAAGCCGCTTTCCGATTGTTTGGGGCATCTGGAGAATGGTACCAAAACACTCTCCGACAGCAACATCTTCCAACAATCCAACAACAGTTTGGTGAACAACGCATTTTCCAGCACGATGGAGCACCGTGTCATAAGGCAAAAGTGATAACTCAGTGGCTCGAGGACCAAAACATTCAAATTTGGGGTCCATGGCCTAGAAACTCCCCAGATTGTAATTCTATTGAGAACTTGTGGTCACTCATCAAAAGGTGGGTGGACAAACAAAATCCCACTAATTCTGACAAACTCCAAGAAGTGAATATATTGTGTTTAAGGTGATAATAAATAAACTATGAGCCCCTAAACGTGATTCTTCTAAAATATTTTTCTTAAAATAAAACATTTGAAACCACTTTTAGCTTTAATTTGAAGGATTGGTCACATTTACGTGATGTTAAAACGTGTGGGTGGTCCTGGATAGGAAAGCCTCTCTGTTGTGTCATTCATGACTCAAGACAATAAAGCAGAAGGATATGTGACCGTGTGACTTAGGGCTGGTGTCAGCTTTACCTCAGAAAGGCTGTTGGAACTGAGGTCCAGTGTGTGCAGCAGAGCACTGCCGTCCAAACCCTCCACGCTCGCCAGGTGGTTGTGAGAGCAGTCCAGGTGGAGGAGTGTGTAAACATCCCTCAGACCTTTGGTGCTGATCAGCTGGTTATGGTGCACCAAAAGCTTCTGCAGCCTCTTTGCAGATTCCAGACCAGCTTGAAATTAAACAACAAAGAGAAAAAGCTCAGGGCTCTGTACACACAAGTGTGAGTACAAGTGTAGGGGAAATGGAAATGATGCCCTCTAGTGGAAAATAAGCATCTGCAAAAGTTGAGGCTTGAAAAACTGACAGAAGATCAAAGACCGAGCGTGTCACCACCAGCTCCCGTGTCAGAGTTTAAAACGATGGTGCCTTTAGGTAAAACCACAAGGAATGACTCAGCTTCTACCAAATTTAAGCTGATCGTTACAACAGTTTTTAACTGTTTTAAGCTGGATTGAGGACATCTTGAATTGACTGAATCAACATCCAATAATTCCTCTGACAGTTCCAGTAAAATGTGCTCTGTGAGATTTTGCTGAAGGTTTTGGCAAATCCTTTTCTAGTAGCAGAGCTCTTTGTGTGAATTCCCAAGGTAAGAATTAAAATCCTTCCACTGGTTGATGGGATATTTTGTAATGAACCCACACAAACACATGACATCATTTCCTGTCCTTTGGCAGCAGGTGACAATGATTTAAAGATAATGATTCAGACATTATTATTAATTTATATTGCACAACTGTTTTGCTCACAGTCATCGTTGCATGCTCATGACCTTTCAATCCTCACCAATGCGTGTGATGGAGTTGTACGACAGATCAAGAACATCCAGACTCTCAGCGCCGCCTAAGCCATGGATGGACTTCAGCTTATTGTGGGAAAGCTGAAGAACTCGTAAACCCGTCATATTTTCACAGTCCACAGAAGAGATGTCATTCTCCTGAAAAGTTTAGATTAGCTTCATGTGGTTAAAGATTTAGGAATTAGCTTCAGCTTTTTAACTTTATTAACCTGTAGATCAACAAAGCAGAGGTCCTTTAACTGACTGATGCCTTCCACTGATCTGAGTCCACAGCGCCTGAGGGTGAGGGAGCGCAGATGATGGCACTGGAGAAGAGTGGACAGGCAGCAGGAGGACAGGTCCTCCAGGGTCAGAGTGGTAACCTGACAGGAAAAAAACACAGTTAACGCTCAGCCGACTTCATATTTTGGGGTTTCTCATCACACACAGAGCAAATGAAGCTTGTTTCACCTTAACTGACATATTTCGGCATCCACTGCCACCTTCATCAGAGCAACCGCCAATGTAGGTGGCGTCACTTCCGATTATCTGCGGGCAGCGGAGGACGATATCGGCCTCTGCTGCCCACGCATTCTAGGCGTGACAAACACATCAACAAAGGTGAAAACAAGCTCTTTTTGCTGTGTGTGTGTGTGTGTGTGTGTGTGTGCGTGTGTGTGTATGTGTGTGCGTGTGTGTGGTGTGTGTATGTGTGTGTGTGTGTGTGTGTGTGTGTGTGTGTGTGTGTGTGTGTGTGTGTGTGTGTGTGTGTGTGTGTGTGTGTGTGTGTGTGTGTGTGTGTGTGTGTGATGAAGAATGACAAAAAATCCAATCACATAAAACACAGAACAAACGTAAAGAAGAGACTCAGCTGACTTTCCCTTGTCTTTTTGTTTTACTTATTCATTTATTTAATGCAAATACATGTTTATATTTACAACCCTGTTGTTCTCTTTTGTTTGAGATTTGGGACAATTGTGCTTCCATAGAATGCCGTATTAAAGGTATTAGCACAGACTGCTCTAAAGTCAGAAGTTCTTTATTTAAGTGAGGTAATTATTTCCTAATCTTATATGCGTAAGTCTGCCTAAAGACAAAAACTCTGACATGTTGATGACTAAACAAGTTTGTAATAAAAGACTTTCAGGTTTCAGAGTCATCCTGAAACATGTTTTGGTCAAATCTTGGAAAAATAGTACCTGGGCTGTATTTATATTGCACCTTCTCGAGCCCCCCAGGGTGCTTTACAACACATTAGTCATGCACCCATTCACACACAGATGGGGAGGAGCAACAGCTGCCCTGCACATTGGCACCACCGTCAGGAGGGTGAAGTGTCTTGCCCAAGGACACGACGGCAACAAACAGAGCAGGGTGCAAACCTGCAACCCTCCAGTCACAGGGTGGCAGCTGTAGCTCCAGAAGTGGAGCGGGTTGTCTAGTAGGGTTGCAGGTTTGATTCCTGCTCCCTCCAGGGAACTCTGCTATTGTGTCCCTGGGCAAAACACTTGACCTAACATGCCTGGGTTGGTGGTGGTCAGAGGGGCCTATAGTGCCGAATAACAGCCTTGCCTCTGTCAGCCAACCCCAGGGCAGCTATGGCTAGGGCGCCACCACCAGCAGTGTGTGAATGTGTGAGTGCATGAATAATGGTAACTTTTTAGGGTGCCTGGAATATAAAAACCAAATCCATTATTAGTCTGTTTGCCACCATCACCACACATCTTGAAAATGTACAGTTTCAGCCAACTTTTTACTCTCAAACATGTGTTGGAACAACCTTTAACAACAACTATAACTCGTGTTTGGCTCTAAATCAGTAAAGGTGGCTGGTGTTTTTGTGTTTAGGTCAGCTGTCTGTGACTAAAGTCAACTGCTATTAGATTTTTATGGAAGGAGAACTTCCACAGTTCCAGTTAAACCTGCCTAGTTGGCTTAATGAATAATCTGTTTCAGCGACACAGTTTACTGAGGACTTTCACTAGTTTAACGTGAACTTTAGTCCAGCAGCAGCAATGCATCGGTGTTGTGCCTCAGATGGTTACCTCCTGCAGAGACTTCCAGCCAGAGGACCGAAGCAGTGTGTGTGGACAGAGTGGGGGAGGGCTGCAGGCCCCAGCCACCCTTCTCCGTCCTCTCGAACTCCAGGCAGAACGTTTCTGCTTCCTCCTGTTTTGAAGGGACAGTTGGGACCAGGAGACACATTCTGTCATCCAGGACAGCCTCTTGTGCTCCGTGTGCTCAGGAAGGAAAGCAGGTGAGAAGCAGGAAGAGGGGCGGGGCTTTGCCTCTGAATGTTGTTGCTCCATGGCTTCATTTGCAGATGTGAGACAGATGTGTTTGTCTGATTTGATTCCAGAGCTGAGGAGACTTGTAGGGTCAGACCCGGAGGAGTCCCACTTCCCATCTCTGATCTTTTCCTTCAGGTTTTTCCTGGTGGTCATCATCTCCTCTTCATCAGATTCATCCCTCCTCTCTCTGTCTCCAGTCTCTTCTATCAGTCTGTTTTCTCCATCTGTCTTTTCTTCTTCACATGCATTTCTCTTTTCTACACCAAGCTTCACATCTTCCTCCATGCTCCTTGCTCCTGTTTCCCACTTGTCCTTCTGTCTCTCAGTGTTTGTTTCTCCAGTCTGTTGTCCAGGTCCCTTACGGTCCTCGGCATCTTCGTGGACGCTGGTTTCTTCTTCACTCTTTCTGTATTCTTTATCACTTAATCTCCTTATTTCTACTTCTTGTTTTTCCATCTGGTGGTTGGTTTTCCGTTTCGGTTCTTTCAGTTCCAGACGTTTCATGTCCAAACTCTGGATCATTTCCTCATACCTGTTTTTCTGGTCTTTACCTTCTTTTACCAACGTTCTGTCCTTCTCTGAACTGCATTCATCTTCCTGTCTTGTCCATTCTCCATCCATCCTCGTCCTCTCTGTCCACACCTTTACTTTTTGTTTTTCTTCTTCCTCTGTTCTCATCTCCTTCAGATCCGTCCTCATTAGAGCTTCAGCACTTCTTTTCTCTCTCTCCTCCTCTACTTTGTTGTTGTCCTCTTCTTTCTTTCTCATGTCATCTCTAAGCATTTTTTCTTTTTCATTTTGTCTCTTTTCATCTTCCCTCTTCGTAATCCGCATCACTTGAATTAATATCTCTTCCTCCTCCCTTTTTCTTTCCTTCTCTTCCTCCTTTTCCTCGTTTTTCAGTACTTCTGTGTCTGCATCTCCCTTTTTTTTCTTCTCCCCCTCTTCTGCTAATCCGATCATCTCCTCTCTCCTAAAGTGAGAATCCCTCACTTTTCGTTCCTCTTTCTTCCATCTCGTTTCTTCGTTGTCTCGGTTTCTTTCCTCTTCAAGGCTCCTGTTTTCGTTCCTTTTCTTTTTCTTCTGCTCTTCTTCCCTTCTCTCCTCATCACACTCTTCCTGGAGATTCATTCCTACAAACTTAAACTTTTCACTTTCCTCATCTGTCGTTTTCCTTCCTTCTCTCTTTCTTTTGTCTTCCTCTTCCCACCTTCTCTTCTCATCTTCAAATCTTTTTCCCTCTTCATCTCTTTTCTTTTTGTCCTCCTCCCTTCCTCTGTTCTGTTCCTCCTTCATTTGTACCCTTTCTTGCTCTCTTTTCTTTTTGTTTTCCTCTCCCATCTTCTGTTCATCCTCCACACATTTGCTTTCTTCTTTCTTCCATTTCTCTCCTTTTCTCTTTTCCTCCTCTTCTTTATTCTTTTCTTCCTCTTTCATCTTTCTCTGCTGTTTGTCCTCTTTACATTTGCTCTCTTTTTCTTCTTCTTTCTTTCTCTTGTCTTCCCCTTCAATTCTTCTTTCTTCTTCTCTTTTCTTTCTGTCTTCCTCCCTTCTTCTGCTCTGTTCCTCCTTCATTCGTACCCTCTCTTCCTCTCTTTTCCTTTTGCTTTCCTCTTCTCTCTGCCTCTCCTTTTCCTTCTCCCTTGTTTTCCTCTCCTCGTCTATCCTCCTCCTCTCTTGCTCTACTTGCCTTTTCAAGTTGCCCATTAGCTCCTAGAGAGTAGAGAAGCTGAAGTTAGAACATGTGAAACAACCGTGTGTCTGGATAAAACACCAAACACAGTTTAGAACAAACCTTAAACACCGTTCGGGTACTCCAAACCCAACCCCGCTTTTCTCTAAAGCTTAAGCACGTCTTACACATGTGCAGCTAAACCATAACACCAGTAGCAAAAAGTAAAACTCAGCTGTCGTCTTTTAAACTCAGCCAATCAGAACGTCACCCATGTTCATAAAGATGCGCTCTGACCAGTGGTGGAGGATAAAAGATCAGAGCTCAGGTGTATCTGCAGACACATACAGAGGAGCAGGAGTCCGTGTAAGAGATGGTGGACGAGGACGACCAACAACAGCCATTACAGAGAAATTCAGACAACTATTGTCCACTATGTCCTTGTTGATGGGACAACAGCAGGACAGAGAGTTCAACCAGTCTGTGGGCAGCATCACCAGGACAGTTAGAGAAGAGAACAGCTGAAGGTTTCTGAAGCATTAGACATAGTTCTCTTAGTACTCCGTAAGCACTGTAATCCTCATCACTAGTTTATGGACTTACTTTTGTAAGTGTTTTGTTCCTTTTCTAGAGTTGAAGATGACCAGATGACGGTGGAAGGACGTCTCTTTTCTCCCATCAACAAGAAGCATCATGGTCATTCACAACAATACCACCCAACTCTGAAATCCAGCAGAGTGGTTGAAGAAAAAATCATCTTTGATGGAAGAAGTGCCTTAGATAAAAATCTCAAGGTGCTTCAGCGTGGGATTGAACTGGCAACCCATGGATGTCCGAGTAAGCTCCTAACCTCTGCACCTCCATCACTCTTACAGTAACCAACAGAACTGACCCCGTCCTCCTACCCAGCTGAAGCCCACAGAACCCCACCTGAGCAAAGCTCTAGAGTTATCCAGGATATCGGGATGTTTCCCATGACGGCTAGCCGCAGGGAATGTTGCCTTTGATGTGGACAAAGTCCTCTGAACATGTGCACAGAGACATGGTGATGTGGAATGAATCTGCCTCACAGCAGTGTATTTTCTTCATCTTCTCTATTTTACAGTAAATATGTCCTGTTACCTGAAAGCCCTGGAGGCTGTGCCCAGTGTTCTGTGGGGACTCTATTTTTATTCCATTTTTGGTTCTTTTTTAAACACAGAGAAGGTTTTCTTTACCTTGCTGACGTAAAGAAAAACCTTCTCTGTTTAAAAACAGAACCAAAAATGGAATTTGAAGACAGACACAGCAAGAACGTACAGAAGATTCTATTTTTACTTGCTGTGTTAAGGATCTGAACACATCATTGAATGGATGTTTGAATCCGACCAGTTTGGGGATTTGGATTTGTGTTTTGAGAAGATGCGTGGAGGTGTTCAGAAACGTGCTTTAGCATTTCAGAAACCCTGTAAATCCGTACGGAACACACCAGGTGCTGCTCGGTCTGACACGAGGATGTTAGAGGTCCTCATGGGGGACTCTGTGTCTCTAATTTCTTTAGTTTTTTTTATCTGAGAGAAGATGAGAAACACAGAACTACATTCTGGTTAAAAGCGTATCTTGTTCAGACTGCTATGTTCATCTATTGGGCAGGCAAACAACTTTGTGTTTAAAGTGAAATATGCCCATAATAAACACTTTTAAAGTCTTTTACGAAGATGAGCTTATCTATAAAAACAATGATGTTAATCCCTCTGGGAAACTGTCTGTGTGTGTGTGTGTGTGTGTGTGTGTGTGTGTGTGTGTGTGTGTGTGTGTGTGTGTGTGTGTGTGTGTGTGTGTGTGTGTGTGTGTGTGTGTGTGTGTGTGTGTTTATGCAGATGCTTTTGTCCAAAGTGACCTACAAGTGATAATGAAGCCAGCCGGACGCCCTTGAGCCGAACAACAAACACTAATCAGTCAATCCTAAATCTGCTTTTAGATATCAGAGATCTACATTTTCAGTGTTTTCATATTGTATTGATAAGCAGTTGGATACAGAAGATGGAACAGATTACTTTATGCAAAAATATCATTTTGTACCATGCTTGGACATTAAACTAGAATAGAATGCTACTAATTATGGTTGTTTTTTATTTAAATGCTGCTCTAGCTGTATTGAATATTGAGTAAACATATTTGTTTTTTGTTGCCTCATGAGTCGTTTTTCTTGTTGTCTTCCCTGTGAGACTGGAGGCTGAAGGCAGCGATTACTGCTGACACCTTCTCTTCGGGTTCTGATCGACAGCTACGTCACAGAACCAGACAGACGTCAAACATTAGGAGTCAACTTTTTTACACAAACCTGCTGAAGCAGCAACTCCTGCTCAATTTTCTCTTGAGCTCCACGTCTTATCAGCTCCAGTTCCAACTGGCGAAGCTGGACAGAGAAGGTCATGAATAAATGAATTAGAGCACAAAACTGAGTGCAGTCCTGTAGAAATACAGACACGTCCATCTGAAGAACAGAGTAGCTTACTGGTTCTTCACTAACATGCAAGCCAGAGGTGGAAGCAGGGACCAGGTGATGATGAACACGTTGAGTCCAGACTGACTCACCTTCTCTGTCTCCGTGATCTTCCTCAGCTCTTCCTGGAAGTCTTTCTCTCGCTGTAGCCTCTGCTCTTTTCTCTGCACCTCCTCACACAGAGGTTTCTCTCCTTTTGTCTCACTGCTGCTTTTTACTGCACCGCCGTTCTGCATGGAACTGTCTGTTCAACATGAGAAGCACAAAAGCTTAATATCTGATCTGGCATCTGAACCCAGCGGTCTGGAGCCCTCTAAAAAGCAGCTGAAGACCCTTTTATTTAAACTGCTTTTACCTTTTGTGTTTTCTGATTTAATTAGCTTTCATTTGTTTTTTGTTACTTTGTTGTTTTTAAGATCATCTTGTGATTTTATTACTTCATGATTTGTTTTCTCTTTGTGTTACGATAGCTATATAAATAAACTTTACTTACATTTCTTTTGTGTTTCGGAGTTTAGTGGAAAGATTAAGACAACACCGACCTCTTATGGTTGCATCTGTTTTTACACATGGTTCAGTCCTCAACGGTTGTGCTGAATTTTATCAGCATTATTCTTTAAAATCCCCAGGAACAGTAAAACTTGAAGTGCATGAAGAGAACTTTATAAATGTTTAAAAGTTAAAATGTGTTTCTTATTTGCATTTAAACAGCTTTTAGTTGAAGTGTTTAAATAGAGCCTTATCACGTGTTTGTTCCATCCTGTTTCACACCTACCACCAGTCTCGCTGCACATCTCACAGCTCATCTGCACCTGAAAGAATGAGCGTTACACAACATTTTAGTGTTTCCATCATCAAAACCCATAAATAACACCAGATGAAAGGCTTGGGCAACATTCACCTTTTCACTTTGTGTTCTTGAATCCCTTTCAAGGCCAAACGGCAACTTGATCAAACCCTCAACGTGATGAGAAACAGGCAAGTCTGCAAGGCCAGAAAGCAAACGCATCTGCTTACTGCTTGTTGAAAACATTTAAACTGGTGTGACGTTTCCTCAGAAGTCACCTTACCCTCCAGATCCTGGAGGATGAGTCCCTCACAGACAGATGCTCTCTTCATAGAGGCCTGACAGTAGCTCAGCAGGGACTGTGGGATATCATCTGAGACCTGGAGTCAGAGGTGGGTTTTTATTGATGGTATAACTCAGAGTTAGGTCAAAAGGGCGGTTGTAACACCTGCTTTCACCAGGTTTAGTATGAATAAATGCCATAATGAATGCCAGTTAGCAGGTGACACTAAACATGTTTAAACAGTAACAGCCTTGTCTAAAGATAAGCATTAATACAGTTCAGCTAGCTTAAATAATACAGTAGTTACGTCACAGACGCCATTAAAAGGGAAGTTTCCCACTAATGGCCGACAGACAGAAGCCCTAACGTAACTTACCTCCTCGTGATTAAACGTTTCCGTTTCTTCTTTACTTTCATCAGTGTCCGCCATTATTAAATCCTTCGGTTCCTGCACGACTTTTAGTCTTCGTCGTAGTCTAAGGACGGCTGTTAACGCTTCCCCTTCAGCGTGGCGGTACTTTGGCTCTTCGGTTACTATAGCAACAACGCTGAGAAGCTACGGAAAATCCCGAAGGACATACAGCGCGACAAGCGAATCACACCTAAAGTACTTTTTCTTTTGGTGTTTTTATGTAATCGTTTCATTTTAATGGAGAACAACTAGTTACAATAGTCAAGTTAACCCAAACAAGAGATCAGCCTTCTCCGCCTGTAGTATCAGAAAACATAAATGTTAGAATATTATAGAAAATAGCCTTTTTGATGAGTGGAAGCATGTTTTCAGCCCCATAACATTTTATTGGCCTAGATTTCTTTTCACATTTGGACACGTTTTTTTGATGTCATCAGAATGTAACATTTATGTTTTAGTGTGGTGATACACGAGAATGTTATTGGGTTTGGTTTGTTTCTGTATTCTTTCTAAACTCCTTTAATGCCCATTAAAGTAGGGAAACTACATTGGTGGCTAAATATTACCAGTTACCCCTGCATGCAAGGAAATAAACTCACATTTTTAGATAGGCCTAAGCTGTGGTGCTGCTTCACGTTTTATTCTGCACCAACATTTATAGCAGGGAGTGTCATGTTGTGGGTACGCTGTTTGACCCAGGATATGAAGAATCACACACGGAGAACAAAGTTAAATAATATAATGCTTTTATTTAAATAACGGTGAGGGAAACTAAGGACGCTGCTCCAAACGGGAACTGGAAGGAACCGGAATCTAAAACGAGAAATAAACACACGTGAGAACAACCCAGAACCAGAGAACCAAGAATAAAAAAAGCTATTCTTTAAAATAGTTCTTACAGTCAGAGACCAGGGGCAGGTGAGGGTGGACTGGGTCAGGTCGGGGAGCGAGGAAGTAGCTGAGGCTGTGGGACGAGATGGAGACGAGCAGGTGACGGTAGTAGGAGTCCAGGAGGAAGTTTGGGAGACAGGCGGATGGTGGAGAGCGGAGGCCAGAGGATTCTGAACAACGTGACATGGAGTAACAACTCCAGGCATAGGTAGGTGATCCAATGGTGAGGTGAACTGAGGACAAAACAACAGGATCTTTAGGAATAAATCACAGGCAGCTGAGGATCTAAGACTAGGCTGGAAGCTACCCTTGGTGAGAGTATCAACCGGCGCTGGAGTTGTGTCACACCGCTCCTTAAATCCCCTGGCCCTCTGAGTGAGATCAGGATCGGCTGCGGCTCTCCGACACGCCCACCTGTAACACAAAAACTGTAGCAAACCAGGTTTGTTAGAGATGATCAAGGCAGACCGTGACAGGGAGAACTAACATGGTGGCTGGAAGAACAAAACATCCCAGCTTTCTTCTTAAAATCAAAAAGTTAACTTACCATGTTTATGCGATGAATTTTATATTTTAATGTACTTATGTATGATTCAGTATAAAATATAGTGATAATTTGCATTATTATTATTATTATTAGTAGTAGTAGTAGTAGTAGTAGTAGTAGTAGTAGTAGTAGTAGTAGTAGTAGTAGTTTTATGAAATGTAACTCACTGACATTTTTATTTCCTTTAAAATGTGAGAAATAAACTTCTGTCAAGGTAAAAACATGACTGGATGTGGTGGAAGCTGTTTGTTGCAACCCATAGCTGTTTTAGGTGGTTTCATGATTCCATATGACAACATCAACTTTCGCTGTTTAGATGCAAGATAAGTTAAAGTTGTTGGAATCACACGTAGAACGGTTTTAGTCCTTTGGTCTGTGCTGCAGTTGAACCAGCAGCACATCCCTCCTGTGTGATGTGAACTCTATTTCGGCTAACAGAGGCCTCTCAGGAGGCAGCTGTACACGACAGGTATGTGAGACGACATTTCTAAATGTGACCTAAAACAGACTTCAGAAGAGCAACATAACAACATCCCTCTGACGCTGTTATTTGAAAGAATTGAGGATTTCATTTAAACCATTAAAATTGACATTTATTTGCATGTTTTGGACAATTTTACAACATTTATTTAGATTCACGTGAACTCATAACATATGTCGTTTAGTTCTTGAGCTCAGCCAAAACTCCTGTTTATTATTTTTCTTTTCAGTTTGATGTGTTTTCTTTATTTAACATGTGTCTAAAATAAACAAAAGAGAAGTTAGTTTATTAGATGGGATCAAATAAAATCCTGTGAATTAAAAAGAAGTGGGTGTCAGCTTTTTGTTTTGGCCTTAAAAGCATCAGAAAGCGTCAAACTTTAAAGTGAAGTTAAAACGTGTTGTCGCTGAGGTGTGTGGGCATTCTGATCTTCCTACTGGAAGGGTCGGAGAGCCTGGAGCTTTGTGGACGGATCACAGCACCAGAGGTGCAGAACCTCTCGTAGACTGTGAACAATGCTCTTTTTTCTTTTGCCTGCATTTTTGATGACAAAGACCTGCTCCTTTCTCCTGTGGTGAGCGCTCTGTGCTGGCGTCCTCCCGCTCTTTGAGGAGGTTCCAGTAGCCCACACAGGTTTCATCATGCACACACTCTTCACAGCTTCCTGAGAAGAACTCGCTCACCTTCCTCACGAGTTTCAGAGAACAACAGCAGCCCGTTTTAGATGTACAAAGCAGGTTCTCTGTCATTGTGATATTTGTGGAGAAAAGCAAATGATTCCGCCGGCGCCAGGTCAGACTCGTTTTCCTTTCAAATGAAACTGAGTAACAATAGAAAGCCACTTCCACAGCCTGTGTGTGGCACAGTGTGCGCTCCTTCACACAGATCGTTTGGTCAAACAAAGGGCATTATGGGTCAGAACACAACTTCACACCAGAGGTTGACGGACTCGTACAGGACAGGACTGTTGTTGGAGTGGAACTGCTCATCATTTATGTTTCATTAGTTATATTGACCAAGTTCAATTGCTTAAAAAGGCTCCATCAGCAAACCTTGTCTACTCCAATTAGAGCGCGGCCCTTTGTCAGTGGGCAAGGTGTCCGTCGCTTTTGTCCCAGTCACCAGAACCCAGACAGCAGGCAGACAGGACCAAACTACACATCTACACAGCAGATTAGACCAGTCAATGGCTTCTGAGCCACAACGTAGCAGCAGTTTGGACAGCAATGTGTGTTGATATTACCAAGGGTTTTCTGTTACTCCTCTGTAGCCATTATCCCAGCAGCACACGGGGAAGTATGACGTTCCATGTTTCTGGATGCAGAAACTGCTCAAATTTACCTTTAACTTCCTTTCACGCTCAGTGAACCTATTACTCATGCACAGTGTGCATTTACCAATGATCCGTAATTTAAATGAGCTAAGCTAGCATCTTAATTTAGTTCATTTTCAAGGTTAATTTTGATCCAAGGAATTGTAATTAGTAGCTGACATTTAAACCCCAGAGTGAGCAAAATGATGAGTCGCGTCAAGCACTCAGCCGAACTCCTGACCTCTGAAACTATAAGGATTTAACCCTGATGGACATCTATAAAAATTTTGTGTGAAAGGCAGGAAACACTGCAGTGGGTGGGACTAATGTTATTGTTTTGGTCTTAAAGATTCTGTCATGGTCATGAAATGTAAGATAAAGTTTTAAACCTTCAAAAGTCTTAAATACACCCAGATTTGAAACACTTGGGCGTAAATTTGTACGTTCGTTTATTTGTTGCTTCTTCAGTTAACTTTGTTTAAAGTCTTGTGAGACATGTACGTTGTTTTATTACACTGTAAAAAAAACTACAAGTTCCATAATGCAGCAGCAGTACCCTAGTTCAAATAAAATTAGTTAATCATTATTAATCAACCAGTCTCTCCTGCAAAAGATTTTGGTTTGAAAAAAAGGAGCTTGGATAAGTCGTGTGTGTGTGTGTGTGTGTGTGTGTGTGTGTGTGTGTGTGTGTGTGTGTGTGTGTGTGTGTGTGTGTGTGTGTGTGTGTGTGTGTGTGTGTGTGAGCGATCATGCAGGTGTGTGTGTGTGTGAGCGATCATGCAGGTGTGTGTGTGTGTGTGAGCGATCATGCAAGTGTGTGTGTGTGTGAGCGATCATGCAGGCGTGTGTGTACAAATTTCTATTTTTGCTAGAAAAAAGAAAAAAGCTTACACATGCATTGCACTTGTCCACAAATAAATCAAAACAGTGCATAAAAGTTCCTTTCAGTAGCTGTTTACATACATAAGCAGCTACCCACAATGCATTGTGAGAATCTATTTTATATTGTCAGAAGTGCCGAGTGTTTGTAGTGAAAATTGGCCAAGAGGAACATTTGACAAATTCGTTTACTATGGTGGCCAAATGTGGGGATGATGCTGGTATACACACTATTTGTATCGTCAACTTTCAATCATCTGGAACAAAACTGAGCAAATTAAAGTTTTAATTTTGCAGCATTTTAGTGCAAAAAAACTGAAAGGGTTAGAATGTTGAACATTTAAGAGAGTTTGTTCATACATTAAAGGGGACAGAGATCTAAAACTCTGCTTTGAATCTCTAACAAGCATAAGAAATGATCTTTTGGCTTTCATCTGTCCCAGGAGCCCTGCTTCAGGCCATTCTAACCCACCTGAATCAGCCTTCCTGTGGAAAGAGCTGTTTACCACTCCCACTTGGCCAGGGCATGAATATGATAATGAGCTGCTTGCTGATTGGTTGGTTTAAACCAGAAGGCCTCAGACACTGGAGTCTGCCAGTTGGAGAAGAAAGAGCTCCACATTGTGACGGCTTTATGAGGTTTCTCTCTTGCATTTTTAAACTTTCTACCTTTTAGTAGGTCACACACGGCTTTGACTTTTTGGCATGCTACTTTTGACCACCCAAGCTGTCTTTATTCACCAACAAGAAAATGTTGGTTTAGATTATTTGTCAACTTTAAAGACCTTTATCTTATACATTACAAAAACAGATTTCTAAGAAAGTAAGGCCTAGTCCACACGTAGCCAGGGTTTTTTGAAAACGAATATCCGCCCCTCCAAAAACTTGCATCCACACCACCTCGTTTTAAAACAAATCTCTGTCCACACGTACCCGGATAAATACGTTGTTAAGGACATGCCAGACCTGTAGGTGGCAGTACTTCCCCCGTTCTTAACCTCGTCCTTCGTCTGT